GTTTCTTCTAGACTGCCCAATTTGTTTGCATTAAATTGTTTATAGTTGTCTCTTTGATCTTTTGTATTTCTGTGATACTAGTTATAATGTCTCTTCTTCCATTTCTGATATTACTTCAACTCTCTTTTTGCTGGTAAGCTTAGCTAAGTTTGTCTATTTTGTTTATCTTTTCAAAAAACAAGCTCTTAGTTTCATTGATCTTTCTATTGACTTTTTATTTATTTCTGTTCTGGTCTGTTACATCCTCCCTTCTACTAACTCTGGGTTTAGTTTGTTCTTTTTCTAGTTCCTTGAGGTAAAGTCAGGTTGTTTATTTAACCTCTTTATTTTTTTTAATATAGGCATTTTGCTATAAACTTCCCTCTTAGACTTGCTTTTGCTGCATCCCCTAAGTTTTGGTATATTGTATTTCCATTTTTGTGTCTCAAGATATTTTTTGCTTTCTCTTTTGATTTCTTCTTTGACCCACTGGTTGTTCAGTACACATCTATTTGTGAATTTTCCACTTTATTCTTGAATAATTGATGCCTACTTTCAGAATATTGTGGTCAGAAAAGATGCTTGATATGACTCAATCTTGATTGATAAAGATTGTTTTGTGGCCTAACATGACCTATCCTGAAGACGTTCCATATGTGCTAGAGAAGAATGTGCTTTCTGCTGCAGTTGGATGGAATGTTATGTGTATGTCTGTTGAGTCCATCTGCTCTAAAGTATAGTTCAAGTCCAGTGTTTCCTTATGAATTTTCTGTCTGGATCATATTTCCATTGTTGAAAATTCTTAACTAAAATTTGAATATAGTTAGTTTTGTATTGGCTTGCTATTCTGGAAGTGAATTTCTAATACTTGGAATTCGATAGCTTATACTAGTTGACTTCTAAAATTACTATATCCTCTATAAAATTGTAATCAACTTTCAAAGAGTTAATGGGAATTTTAAATTGGTGTAATATGAATAATGAAGAGGTTTTTTTTTTAAGAGGGCATCTCTCACATTTATTGATCAAATGGTTGTTAACAACAATAAAATTCTGTATAGGGGACTCAATGCACAATCATTAATCAACCCCAAGCCTAATTCTCAACAGTCTCCAATCTTCTGAAGCGTAACGAGTAAGTTCTTACATGGTGAACAAGTTCTTACATAGTGAGTAAGTTCTTACATGGTGAACAGTGCAAGGGCAGTCATATCACAGAAACTTTCGGTTTTGATCATGCATCATGAACTACAAACAATCAAGTCAGATATGATTATTCATTTGATTTTTATACTTGATTTATATGTGAATTCCACATTTCTCCCTTATTTATTTATTTTTAATAAAATGCTGACGTGGTAGGTAGATGCAAGATAAAGGTAGAAAACATAATTTAGTGCTGTAAGAGGGCAAATGTAGATGATCAGGTCTGTGCCTATAGACTAAGTATTAATCCAAGCTAGACAAGGGCAACAAAACATCCACGGATGCAGAAGATTTCTCTCAAAACAGGGGGGTGTGAGGTTCTAAGCCTTACCTCTGTTGATCCCCAATTTTGAAGAGGAATTTTTTAAATTGCTCTTTTATAAACATCAGCATAAGCTATTTCCTATACATAAAATTATAGTAAATGCCATAGTTCACCAAACTGAAATCCCTTCTGATTCAAGTTTCAGTCCTTCTCAATCACATAAACAGCATCAACTTTAAAAGTTAGAAACACATTCTTGATTACTCATTTTCTTACTTGTTAGAGCTCTGTTATCCACAAATTATTACAAGCCCTCATTATCTGCTCAGCTACTGGGGGCCTGTTCATTGTAACACTTGTGTACAGCTTTAAAGGTGATTTTTTGAGTCTAGAATTTGTTGAATAAGAATATATTTTCTCCATCTATAAGGAGTATACAGAATCTGTTTTATTTCAACTTTAATCTTTCTAGATTGTGGAAATAAACTTTTTTCCATTTTTATTTTCTCATAAAGTCACTCCAGTTTATCCTATCAGAATGTGAGAGGGTTTCAAAAAGGGGAGGGGATGGTTTTTAAGATGGTATATCTTAAAAATCCTGTTAAGTTAGTTAATTCCTGATATCAGGAATTCATTTATTTGGCAGGAACAAATGAAGTTGAAGAGAGAAGGGCTCTTTAATAATAACCCAAATTCTGAATATCTATTATATACCAGGTGCTTTTCTAGGCATCTTAACTACATCATTTCATTTGTTTCTTCAAGCCAATAAATTTATGATTCCCACTTTTCAGAATAGGATGTCAAGGCTGAGAGAGTAAATATTTCCCAAAGATCACAGAGGTAGTAACAAGTGGGGCCAGGATTTACACCCAAATATTTCTGACCACAGAGCTTGTACTTTTTTACACTATTCACAGTGACTCTTACAGCAACAGAGAGGCTGGTTAATTTTTTTCACTTGTAAGTAGAAAACGAGGTTCTAATTTAGTAGAACTTTAGCCCTGGATTTCATTTCAGTTCATTTTACTCCAAATACAAGCAAGTTTTTATTTTATTTTTCTTAGAGACCAGTTGATAGTCCTAAGAGAAACAAAAACTAAGGAAGCTCTTGAGTTGCATCCATAGGAAACAAGTCATTTGCCTTCTTTCCTTTTCTATTTACCTGATCCCCTTTGACTCCACACTCCTATGCCATTCCCACCTTTCCCATTCTTACATCCACTAAAGATCTGGGAAACAGAGACCAAAATGTGTGAACAAGTTTACAAAAAGGAGACAGACTTTGTACTTATATTGCTATGATCATACATTCATCCAAGAAGTATTCACTAAATGCTTATTATATGTTCAACACGATTCTAGGCATTGGGAATAAATATGTTAGGGAGTAAGACAGACTAAATCCTTGCTTTCTTGGAGTTTACACTGTAGTAGGGAGAAAATATCAGGAAACAAGTAAATAAAAAAAGGATTTCAGGTAACAGTAAGTACTAGGAAGAAAGATAACACAGAGGAGTGGGAAAGGATGATGGTGGTGGTGGCAGCGATCAGGGACATGAAAAAGGTAAGGGAGCAAGTAATGTGGCTATCTGAGGAAAGAGAGTTTGGGGCTAAGGAGAGAGCAGTTCAATGACCCAGCGATGTAAGGAGGCCAGTGGCATTAGAGCAGAGTGTACAAAAGGGAGAGTAGTGAAAACTGAAGGCAGAAGAAATTTGGAGCAGGGAGGTAATGTGTAATTTGAGGCCAATGTAAAAACTTAAATTTTAAATCTGAGAACTGTTAATAAATTACTTTAGAATTACTTTTCCTTTTAAAAATACCTACATGGGCAATTGCCACATGAAGCTGATAAAATAAAATATATAATGTTAAATTATTTTTAAAAGACAAATTGAAATAACTTTTTATATATGTACAATGGTTTTTATACATATTTTTTGCATTATTCAAATGAAATTAAGCATTCTCTCAAGTGCTTAATTCAGAGCTGACATCTGTCCTATGGCTCACCTGAATATATTTATGAAGACCAGGAAGTCAACCTTCTATAAATAACTGAAAATTCTTGACACAAATAATTACTTTAAAAGGAGAGATTAAGTCAAACTTTAAGCATTTGAAAAGTTTCTCCTAGGTATAAAAATTAAAAATTGGAAAAAAACCTCCAAGTTGAGTTATGTAATCTTTATGTAAGCAAATGAACAGAATTCTGTGTTAAAGTAAAAAATGTTGAAACAAAAACAAACAAAAAAAACCCCAAAAAACCCAGCAGAGTTCAGAATCCTAGACATTAAAGGAACTGGAATTGTACTGTTCCTAGAATAACTATTTCTCAGCATAAAAAAAGAAACTTGTTTTTTGGACAATGTTTGTAAAAGCAAATTCCATAAGCAAACCTCTATCCTATCAATTTATATTATTTAAGTAGCAGCATCAGTTAAGAGGAAATATAACTCTTCTTTTGAACCTCCTCAGTTCTTTAGTACATTTCAGCTGAAAACTGGTGAGCTAACAGCCACAGAAGAAGAAACTTTTTCAAGAAGTACATTTGTGATGGGACGATTCATGAAAAAACTAATGTAAGAACATTAGCTGGATCCATATTTAACCATATTTAATTCTATATGATCATGTAATTTGGTTTATAAAAACCAGATTTAAAAAATTTTATGAATTTATAAAGGCAAAATTCTATTTAGGCTACAATTTAATGAAATTCTTATTCAAAATCTCTTGCAGAGCTTCTTCTCCCAAATACCAAAGGAAAGATACTATTTCTCCAGTTGCATTATCCATTATCACATTCTCCAATTGCACAAATCTGTGCAATCTGGCAATACAGGCACAATTCAAACATGTATGTCCTTTCACAATAAATATAATTTACAATAATCTGGTTACAACAAAAATATTTCTAAGCTCTGTTTGACTGCCTGTTTTAGGACTGCAGACAATCTGATCATAAGAGGAGCTGTTCTATAAGAAACAGTTCTACCATTATTTTAAAGTGTAAAGTCTTAAACAGTTTAGAAGAAATTAGAAGGCAGAACTCTTTCTGGCATCACTTTCAAAATATATTAACCATCATCCCATTTCTTGCCACCTCCACTGCTGCACTTGGTCTGAGCCACATAACCTCCTCCTGGAAGAACTGTAATTGTTTCCTAATGACTCTGCAATCAGTGAGGCCTACTATGAATACCCTATAAACTGCCCTATCTTATTAATGACCATCCCACCCTATTTTCTGATTCATTTTTTCATTTTTCAATAGCACTAATCACCATCTAACATATTACAAAATTTACCTGTATTTATTGCCTATTTTTCCTTTTTAGAGGATACACTCCACAAGGGCAGTTATCTTGTTTTGTTCTCTGTAAGCAATGGAAAAGTACCTGGCACAAGACGTAACATCAGTATTTGTGGAATGAATAAATTTTAGCTTATGAAACAAATATGAAGGAATAGTCAATTAATTTTGATAAATATTAATTATGACAAAAATATGCATGATGTGCTCACGTTGTACAGAGCTTACCATACCAGATAAAATAAGCAGTTCAATGATTTCTGCATCTCCAAGATAGGCAGCAGCATGCAGTGGAGTTCTCTTTTCATTGTCCTGTGATAAGAAGGAAAGGCAGAACATGAATTTTAATATAACGTTTGTTTTAATATACTTTCAACTTAGAAAAACCACTATTAATTGCCAACCTACTACTTCTACAGCTCTAGTCTAGTTTGCAAGTCCCATTGACCAGAGTATTTCCCTGCTAGGAAACGAAAAGGTTAAAAAAATATTTTGGCCTTAAAAGAATGGTACAAAGTATAACAAAGAACAAAATAAAAATTAAAAGTGACAAAGAAATAGCTTTTTAGACTTCCTTTGAATAAAGTTGCCTATGCTGCTGATTTACACAGGCAAATTTCCTTTACTTCATACTACTTTCTACCCTAATATATTTCTACAATTTTACAGTTTATTATTGTTGACATAATTAAATAAAACAAACCATAACAAACCAAAAAGTTTGCTATGCAAATGTTTCCACAGGAGTACCCATTGTGGCAAAGAGAAAATACCTCTGGGAGTTGAAATTATCCCTTAAAACAGTCTTAAAATTCCTGTCAATTTTGTTTTTGGCTCTAAAATATAATTCTATCTTATAAATATAAAAATAAATATATAGTCTTCCAAATTTTCTTCCATGAAGAGAAGCTACATCTAATGCATGACTTCATGTACCTCCTCCACTCAAATACCAATGTTCTCTAGTCTGAGAAGCAAGGTCTTAGGGTAAAGTCACATCAGGGGTTTTAAATCCATATTTAGACCTTATCTAAAGTTACAACTGAGTGCTGCTGACTTGGCTCCATCTAACAAAGCTATTCATTTAGAAATACTTATTTTGAAATTTGCATCTTTTTTTTTTTGACACAGGGTTTTGTGACAGATTGTTAGTTGCCTTCCATGATCCACTTTCCCCTTTATCCACAAATGAAATTTTAGCTGGTTATTTTCCCACCAGTAGGAGAATACAGAACTAGCCTGCCTTCAAGTTTTGTTACTTAGTGTGAATCAGTGGTACACAAGTAAAGGCACAACTTTCAGATCATCTTGAGCTTAAAAGACAACCACCTTAGAGCCAGACTAATACTTTTCCACTTCCCATAGGCTTAAGGCAGATGTGAAACTGGGCCAGCTTTGACCATGCAGAGGAAGGCCAATATCCTGAAAGACTGTCAAACAACAAGCTCCTGAATGATCTTATAGAGCAGAGTCGTCCCATCAACCTGGACTATTAATGTCTATACTATAAAAATAAATAAATTTATTTAAATAGTTATTGTATTTTGGGTCTCTTACTATATTATATTATAGCTTTCAAGGAATAAAGCTTGAAACCTCTTATTTCATGTTATAATAACTTTCTAATTTTGCAATACTCTGATTACCCAAAGAAAGGATGGACAACTGAGAATAAATTAGGACAAAAACTGCTAGTCAAAAGAGGGGTTAAAAATATTTATAGGCAATTCAAAAAACTACACTAGCTATAAAAGATCTTATAAAGATTGTATGTAACATAATTATCACCGGCTGATCAAACATATCATATAATTTTAATACATTTGTGACATCGTTTTTGTCTTTATAGTAGTAACAGGTACTCTAGTAAAGGCAGGTGGGCATAGTGGCTATTAATGAGCAGTAAGCTAACAGTCATCTCTAACCACAGTTAATTTCCATAAGACAATATTTTTTACTCCAATATATACTCCAGCAAACTGAATACTAAACAAACAGTTGTTGAAAAGCTAACACAGAACCACTCAAGAATCAGGCTTTATTCAAAGCTGAGGCCTAATTTAGTCATTTTAATCAAAAGATCCTCAGCTTAAAGCTTTTCGGTGTTAATCATTAGCACAGCAAACTCTCCTAGAGTGCTTAAATATGATCAGACCCACTCAAATTGAGAAACCTATCTATTACACAGCATAAACCACACACACTGCACATACATAAAGTGAGTAATTTACGTGTGAGAGATGCCTGGGATTCTGACTCAATGCCTTGAATACTATTAATGTGTTTTATGACCCATGAACACAGTTTTTCCTCTCTACAAATCAAATTGAAGGAAAAAAAGGGAACAAATTGGTTAATTTTAAATGAAAAATTTTACCTATCATTTTATTTTACTACTTAAGATTTCCCTCAGCAAAATTTATTAAAATTAAAAAGTGACTATACCCTTTTCCACACTAAATCCATTTCAAGTATTTTTTTTTTAGATAAAGATACTCCTACTTGTGTGCAAACAAAATAAGTAAGTATATTTACATCACCAGAAGCACAATGCTGTAAACAGTTTAAATGCCCACGAACAGGGGAATGGTTATCTAACATGAAACACAAGAAGCTCCTAACCAACCTTCATTTAACTGACTCACATGATTAATTGATACTCTGTTTCCTGAGTAAAGCTACAGTGGTCTGGTACACTAAGTATTTTGACTAGGCTAATATGTCAGTGCACTTTTGTTCCCACCACTGGGTGTACGTTTATCAAGAGTAAGGTGTGTTTGTACCACAACTGTTTGTGCCAATTGTACCTGCAATCATAACACATGACTTATTTAAGTATTATTTAAACTGATGAAATAGGAATGAAAAGAGCAACTGTTTCTATGATCACTAGGTTGAAAACTATATAAAGATTCAAAAAAAAGGTAAGCTACCAAGAAAAAGTACTCTTGAATTAGGGACTGTTGAGTTGTCTTGTAGTTAAGACAACTGAAATACTAAGGAAAACAATAAATACATTGTAGAGGTTTTGCCCTAAGTTTGATTCTTAAGTGTCAAAATTCTCATATCACTTAATGAACCACAAAATGAGAGTTAAAAAAATGCACTGGGAGTATGGTCTATGCAAGAAAGACAACACTGAACTTGTCAGTGGACTCTATCCACATTGTCAATGAAAAAGCCTTGGTCCAATTTAAGAAGGAAAAAAAAAAGGTTGGTAAACACATTGTTACAGTTAAATGTATAAAGATCACTTTTATGATTCCCTTTATCAGACTTGGATTAAGTTAATCAACTACCAGTTATGACCTTTTATCAGATGAGAGGTTTTCTAGCTTTACGTTCACATAGTGAAATACTATATAAAAGTACTGCATCCAATTCCAAATGTGTGCGGTACTCCCCATATATCCAAGCAATGCTCCCAAACCAGCTGGGTGTCCTCAAATTCAACTCAATTCTGACACTCTCCACCAGGAGACAGCATCATATCCCACAGGTTGAGAGCTCAGTCCCAACAAGACTGCCCCTCCCTTCAGACACCAATAGCAAGCTCAGGCTGTGTACTTGTACTTCTGAGCCCCTGGCTATAAAATCAGAGGTTCCCTTGACCTCCTGCTTGACTTTGATTAATTTGTTAGAGCAGCTCACAAAACACAGGAAACCAGTTTACTCATTAAATGACCAGTTTATTACAAGGATATTAGAGGACACGAATCAACAGCCAGATGAAAAGAAACACAGGGCAAAATCTCTAACAAAGGAGCTTCCACCCTTGTGGAATGTGGGGCTCGGTACAGTGACATGTGTTAATTGTTTCTGGTTCACCAACCTGGAAGCTCTCTGAGCCCCCTCCTTTGGGGTTTTTAAGGAGTCTTCATAAAGTAGGCATGATAGATTAAATAACTGGCCACTGGCACTGGAACTCATTCCTCCCCAAAGGTCAAGGGGAAAGTTCCAACCCTCTAACCGTACAGTCGGCCCCACTGGCACAAGCCTCCTTCTCAGGGGCTTTCCGGAAGTCATTCATTAACATTAAAAAAAGACATCTTTATGGCTCTTCTTACAGGAAGTGCCAAGGCAAGAGTTTTAGGAGCTCTATGCCAGGAACACTACAAAGATCAAATATGTATTTATTATAAATCACAGTATCACATTACATTTCTTCTTTAAAATAACAAGCAGACCTCGGTTCTACACACACTTGGGTTTGATTATGCATTAAATATCTTTGGAGGATACTCAAGAAACTAATGCAGTGACTGCTCTGGGTGAAGAAAGGTGGCAAACTACAGTCTGAATGTGAGAAAGTTATTTTTCACTATCTGTAACCTTTGGTACTGCTTGTAGTTATTACAATGTACATATTTCAAAAAGTAACAAAGAAAAAAACCCATTTCAATAAACTGAAAAGCATTTTAATAAAAATCCTAAGAACAATTTCCCACATTAGGCATTTCACAAGTACCAAGTGCTCATTAAAAAAAGAAAAATGTTTCTTAGTCAGTTTTTTAAAGAAACCATTATATCTCAACGTAGTAATCCCCAAATAATCCCAACTAGAATTATTAAATACAACAGACTCAAAAAATTTTAACTCATTTGATCACATAGGTTTTGATCATATACTTTTAAATACATTTTCTTACAATTCATATGTAAGTGCTGTGAAAGAGATTTTGTACATATGATTAAGACTACAAAAAATTGTCTATCCTCTCCAAATAAACAGGAAAAACAGCTTTCGCTCTTATAAGTGACTACCCTGAAAAGACAAGATGACACACCTTAGAAGGATTAAAGGAGAGCAGTGACTGCTAACCATTTGGAGGTTGGGCCACAAGCAGATGCTGGGCTGAGGCATTACAGAAGAGCTGTGCAAATGACTGGAATATAAGGGGTTCCTTTGAGGTGCTTCAACAGTTCTGTATCTTGAACATGGTTATATAAATCTAAATGTATGACAAATGCCAGATAATCATACACAAAGATAATACCACTACTACATCCTTTCCTCCCTCAAATGAGTGAATACAGAAACTAGTGAAATCCAAGAAAGGTCTGAAGTCTAGTTAAGATTGTGTCAGTATCAACTTCCTGGTTTTGATAATGTTCTGTAAGGTGTCACCACTGGAGGACTCTGCATAATGGAAAGATGGAACTTCTCTGTACTATTTCTGATATTTCTAGTGTACCTACTATTCCTTCAAAATAAAGTTTTAATGGAAGTGTTCAGAAACATCCTGAATTACACTGTAGTTTATATATTGTGTTATGGAGAACTCCAGAAGCAGTCTACAAAGCACAGTACA